ACACTGCATTTTTGCTTAAATCCTTGAAAAAAAACAGGGAGGGAGGTGCAGAATCTTACACACAGATACTTTTGCAAAAAATAACTCGTGATTCACCACAGCCTTCCAATATCAAAAGGTTAAGAGGCTCTGTCGTGCATCTTTACTCAGAATTAAACAAAGCCTTTCAAATGAACTGCACTGATACAGTGATTTTAAAAAATGCAAGTCTAAAAAAAAAAACCCAAAAGAAAACAAAAAGAACCAACAAGGGTAAACTATTTAAGGAAATAAACAGAACAAGAGTAAGGTCTCAACTGTAAGAAAACCCCTCACAACCTGAAAATATGTCAGGGAAAAGATCTGTGGGCCCTTCATGGAAAAAACCAAACTGGTGCCAACTTTCATATTTTTTTTCCCCCCAATGAAATAATTTCATAATTCTTGTCCTAAGATGGATGATCCATAGCAATACCAGTTTTGATTCAATTATCTTGCCCCTCTCAGCACTGGAAGTAGTCCAAGAACTATATTAGAAACACTTCTTTCTTGGCTACTATTTTGCCCTTTGTCACAACAAAAACATTTTGCAGAGACTGTCTTCACAGCCCGCTTCTAGTAGAACCAGTTGGGGATCTAAAGGAAACCTGAATCTTTCCTTATCAGCTCATCTACTCAGCTTCACAGTGGCTTGCATGCATACAAACCTGAACAGATGCATATATCAGCCTAATAAATAAGGTCTAGACTACTAGAAGGTTGTAGAAGTAATGGTAATCACTTTCTTTGTGAGGACATTTCTATCAAAATGAATTACAGATAACTGAATCTAAAATATGGTTAATTTAATCTTGAAAAACAACTTCAAAAAGACATGCCCTGTAAACTCAGGGCACTGCCCTTTAAATTGCTTTAAAAAACACTCAGCATGCTACAAGAGAGCAATGTGACATTAAGAAAAGGCAGACAAATAATGTCTATTGTTTTTACTAAGTAGTAAGGAACCAATCACCATTCTCTTCCTGAGAAATACTGTTTGTACTTATAGATATTTGGTGTTAGAACAGCTAACTAAAAGCAAGATATGCAAGCCATGCAGAGAAAAATAAAAGAAAAGAAAATGCATGGGATGTGAAGAGAGCAGCAGAAGAAATGGAGTAAAAGGGAACTATGGTGTGAGCTGTAACAAATTCAGAAATTCAAAATGCTTTTTATACTTTCCTATACCAAAAGTTCTGAGTATAGTAACCAAGAGCTGTATTTGAAAATAAGTTTATTTATACTGATTTTTTTATTAGATCTTAATGAGTAAACTAGCTTCTAAGAGCATCAAGTACTTTTTCCACATGAATCCTCTAAATTGAACTGTACAAAATAGTCTCTTTTATATCTAAAAATAGTCAAGCTTTTCATTTTCTTATGTATATTTTGAATTTTTTTTTGATATCTGGAATATGAAAGCGTAGTGAACTGTAGTAGAATCTGTCATCATGTAAAATAGCCAGCATTAATCCAGTAGATCACTCAGCCACTTGAACAGTGACAAGGTGTCAATATACTTCATTAATATGGTAGAATTACAACACTACAGAGATTGATGACACACTGTATGCAAGACCATGAATACTAATACTTAAATCCAATAGAATTTAGCCTAAATTAGATTTGTTAGCTGTCAGGCATCGTTACATAGCATTAATTTTTTTTTCGTGTTACCAAACCACTGCAGAGATGCACACAGACAAAAATCACTTGAGATGTCTGTGTCTATAAACACTACGTGTATTGAGCAGCCTTATGGAAAGAATTCTACCCTAGATAAAAGTATGCCTTGCAAGCTAGTGGCTTCTCTATCATATATCAGAAATGCTCATGATAGTACTGACTGATAAACACAGACTAGCCTAGAGAAGCATCAATTTTTCAACACTTCATTGCTTTTGTTACTGTGGTAAGGCAGATACCATTAACTTAAGACATCAGTATAACTTTTGTTTAATTAATTGTTTAGACTAGCAAATAGTCTTTCTTTTAAAAGGTATCCATGTTCAACCTCCTCGAAAGAAACACATTGAAACATTGTATCAAAACCAGGTTTAAATGAACTCTTTTTAAAGCACAGTACTGTCAAGTTTGAATTTTCTCCCTAAATAGTATTAAAGCTAAATTGCCCCACAGATTACATGCAGACTGTTGATACTAACACCACAGAATCACAGAATCAAAGTAGGTCAAAGTAGATTAGGCAACTGGGCCTTGCGTAGCCCAGTTCCGAGCATCTCTGAGGATGTTCTCCACAATCTCTCTGTGCAACCTGTAGCAGAGTTTTACCACTCACAGGGTGGTTTTTTTTTTTTTCTTGTCTCTAAGTAGAATTGTCCCTGTTGCAACTTGTCCGCATGGCCTCTTGTCTTTTCACTGTGTGCCTATATGAAGAGTTTGGCTCCATCTGTCCTATTCCGCCCACCCTTCTATTAAGTAGTTGAAGACAGCACTAAAATCTCACCTTAGCATCTCTTCAGGCTAGACAACCCCAGTTCTCTCAGTCCACCTCTGTTGGACTCATGGCAGTACATCATTGTTCTTCTTGTACTGGAGAAACCAAGACTGCACACAGCGCTCCAGATGTGGTCTCACAAGGGTTGAACAGAGAGAATAATCACTTCCTTTGACTTGCTGGCTACACTTTTGCAACAGTCTACTACGCAGTTGGCTGCCTTTGCCACAAGAGTACACTGCTGACAAATGTAAAGATGAAGTTCTTACCAATAAACACATTTCACCCCACATGGGTACTTACACGAAAGCACTCAAGAACATAATCATAAATGTGCAGGCATATTGGGCCCTCTACCTCTCAGCACTCTACATGTATATGAAATTAATGGAAGGAATTGCCATCAGATCTCTCATGTGCAGAATGTCCTGTTCTCCCACTCCTGTGCCTCACAGAAAGACTGGAGGTGGAAAGCTGTACAAAGATAACCTTCAAGACGAAAATGGTCTTGCAGAGGGCAAACTTTGAGGTAAAGAATGTTCCTAAGGATTATTTTTACCATTCCATTCCAGCTTACACTTAAACACAATTTACAAATACAGCTTCCTCCCAGGAAAGTTATCTAATATTTATTTTATCCAAGTACCACCATCATGGCTCCCCACCAATGTGTTTAAGGAATGCTGTATCAGAAATAAGCCAAACAAATTGAACAAAAAAAATAAGAAAAATAAAATCTTTGAAAAAATAAACCTAAAACCTCGATAGAGGAGATGTCCACAAAAAAAAAAAAAAAAACCAACAACAACCCACAACCAAAAAAAACCATCTGCAGAGAAAAAAACAAAATAAAGAGTGCACAAGTTGGAAAGAGTTTGTGAAAAACAGGCTCAGATTCTTCTGTACAATTAAGGACTTGCTCCACAGTCACTTATACAACTTATGTGTCTTAATATTACAAATCTAATGCATAGGAATTAAAAACTTTAAAAAGCCCCCAAACCAATACCTACAAAGAACAACTCCCCCCCCCGCCCCAAAACCACAAAACAAAAAAACCCACTAAACCCAGAAAGTGTTTATGATTCGTTAACTCGGTGACCTATCAGCTTCAATTCTAAGTATATCAATATAACACAAGTAGAATGAAAAAAACCATAATTTCTTAGTATAGTCCCAAGTGTTTTCTTTAGACCCAGGTAGCAAATGCAAACGGTCAACGGCTATCCTTCATTTTTAAGTGAACCTATAATTCCTGGTGGCTTCTCTTTTCCTCCTGATGAGTCCCTACTCCTTTGTCTACTATTTCTCCCTTTCAGCAATTATTCCTTCATGGCCCCAAAAGGCTGAATTTTACTGTCATGGAGTGAGAAAAGCAGTACTCCACTAAAGGTGGAAATGTGTCCTAGCATCAGTACTTAAGATGAGGCTCAGAAAAAGGCTAGAATACAGACAGAATTTCTAAAAGAAGATACCAAATCATTTTAGTAAAAATACAATACCTCAAAATGCGATGCTTTAGGTATAACCTGCTAAAAACCACAATGCAGCTATATACAACCTAAGTATTATGGAAAGTGGGGTTTATGTTTTGTTGGAGGACTAGGAAAAAGAAACTAGCAAAGAAACTATCAGATTTAAATGAAAATCTTTGGTAAAGTCTGAAGCAAGATCTGAGATTTACCTTGTCAATCAAACTACCCATTAAGCCTTAACGCTGTCTGTTATAATTACCCAAAAAAGCCATTGACCCTTTTTTGCTGCTGAGCTTGGGTTCATAAGGACTTACACAGCACAAGTGGAATCCCCAACAAACATTACCATACAAAAGATTATGATCTCCAGCAAAAATATACTGGACATGGAATACACAGTGATTGTCATTCAGTTGCCATGCTCATTTTCATATAGTATAAAAGAAGCACTTTATGCACACACAAGTTGCATATTCATCAACTTATAAAAGACATATTGCTTTACCCTAAAATAGGAAATGTTAAGAGTTACAGCCTTTTATTTACACTGTAGCAGTTCTGCAGCATTGTTTTAAAATCCTGAGTATATGAAAAACGTATACAGTTCTTTACATAATTTTGCACAGTTTAATCTGAAGTTTTCACCCATTTTATAGCAAATTACTTGCTAAATCTAGACTAGTAAAAACAAAACTGATGTGTTCTTACTTTAATTCCTTTGTATGCTTTTTTTGCTTCTGAATTAATTTTTTTCTTTAAGAAATTCAGTTTAAAAAAAAATTCAAACAGAAATAGCAATGGCTTAGGGTTAGTATAGACCTACTATTCTTTCTAATATTTATTATCACAACTAAATAGCTGTAGGAACTACTAAAGATTAGGAATGTATGCACTAAGTTAAATCAAGTTAAAGGTGAGATAAAAGACCTTGCTCTAAAACTTCTACAAAATATAAACCAGAAAGAATCTTACAAAGCAAGCAAACACAGAAAAGGTTGACAAATCAAAAAACCTGTCTGCTTAGAATTTGGTTAATTGTTCGTACATACCTTCTGTGCTTAATCCAGGACTTGAAGTGAATTTTGCTACATCGACAATCTTTACAGCAAACTGTTGCCCTGTTTCCCTGTTGATACATCGCCGCACAACGCTGAATGGACCCCTGAAACACACACACAGAGAAAACAGCAATAAATAACCCATTCTCTTTTATGCGCTGAGCTACAGTTCCATTATTTCTAAACAAAGTTTAGATTCCAACATTCAAGTGTAGTATTTACACAGAAGCTTATGCCTCTCATCCTTGCTGCCCATTAAATATAAAATTAATAATTTTAACTCCAGACTAGTGTAAAGAACACCAAATGAGTTTTGTATTTTCCTGTATTAAAGACATTTTCTCTTACCCTGCCATGTTAGAAAGGCTATACTCCTAGAAACCTTGTGTAATATACTGACGTTATTATTAAATTTTAAGTATACTTTATTTTGATGCATAATCCGAATAGGGGAAAAAAAAAAAAAAAAAAAAACCAGAAGCAAGAAACACATTCTTGCTTTCAGTCCTAAGCTAGAGTTTAGCAAACACTATTTGGAACAACTGAAAGGATATTCCTTTAAAACAATGATAAGAGTAACAGTATTGTTAAGTCATGCTGTTTGGTTTTGTTTGTTTGTTTTACACAAACTAGGTTAATTTTGAGTTTATTTGACATCACTAGATAAAAACAACCTTCATTACAATACTTTGAAAGTCCACAAAAGCTTATAATTTTCACTCATCTATGGCACTTAAAGAACTCCTACAAAAGTTACAGATAAAAAGATTTATTAAAATTAGTTGAAACAGATGTTAGTATTGCACTCAACTAATAAAAAGCTAGTTATTTTTCAAAATTGAAATTACATTTGCCAAAACACAAGTTAAAACAATGGCAACCTTTTAAAAACCATCACCACCAATATGCATTTTTGGAAGCTTCTTTTAGTAGATGATTTAAGTTCTTGGTACCTTGACTTAAAATATGAAATCTTCCATCCAATGTTAACAACAAACAGTACAATCAGATAATTACGGTATTTCAGGCTTTCAAACATGAAAAATTAATAGGTTATTAAAACAGTAGGATTGTTTCAAGACTGCAATAGTTGCAGCAAATCAATCCTTTTTTACTGCCTCTTATTTAATGACTGACATGACAGTTCTAAAGAAATCCATTCTAAAGTCTTCTCAAAAAGACGTAAGGGAAAATTTGAGGATGGAAAGGGCCTCTGTCCAGAAGTTCATCTATTGAGTGAACATTCACCTGCTGAGTGAAATAAATGCTTAAATATAGCTTAAAAGACAAATTCTTCCATTCAAGCAGTGAACTGGAAGTTAGTTTACAGGTTTCTGAGCAATGCGATTGAAAAGCAACACAATTCTCAAAATAAAACGTTCCCTGAAAAGGGAGAAAAGTCCCTCTGAGGGCACTTACAAACCTTTATAACTGGCTTTTGGTATTCCATTACATACCAGATGATTCAAAGTATGTAATTCATCACACTACCAAACCTGTACTCCCATAGCTAAAATCCAATTTTTGTACTTTTTAAACAACATACTTGCAAAGGTTTCTTGAAATAAGATCATTTCTGACACAGAACACGAATACCAAAAACAGTCTATGAATCACAACCTAAATATTCACAAACAAGAAAAATATTTTTTAGCACAACTATATATATGTGAATTATGCTGACGTGCTCAAACAGAACTAACTATACAAGAAAACACATGGGTTTTTTCCTCTTTCCTCGCTCCTAACATACAGTGAAATCCCCCATACTGATGGCTATGTTTCTCCTCTGAATCCACAGCCCACTATTATTCAGTATCTGGTCTTTTACCAACAGTTACCAGGGATGTTTTTAAAAAGATGTTCAGTTAAGACTCTAATACATAGAAATCCACTTACAGCTGTAAATAGAAAAGCCTCAGCTGACTTCATTTGGCATTGGAAGGACTACAGCTATTGTCTCCCCCACATCTCAAAAAGTAATCTTTTATTAAAAAGTCCAATTTTATATAGATCAGTGTCACCTTCTTATCCCAAGTCTCTGCTTACTCTTTTAGCATCTGTTAAAGTAAAATTGCTTTAAAATAGTATAAACACATTTAAATTATGGTAATTTAAAAACATTTTAAAACCTAAACCTCAGCTTTGGAACAACATTGGCAATACTCGTTTTCATTCACAATTGCCATAAATTACTAGAAACTAAATGCATTTCATTAAAATGACCCTTTTGCTTTTCATTCTCATTGTTTTTTCCTCACACAAAGCCTTTCTGAAGACATTAAATAATGCTTTTAACATAATCTGATATAGAATGGCAGATCACTAGAGTGCAGAGACACCTGACAAGACCATATCCTTACTTCTAGGTAGACCCCTAACTTCTGTTCATCCACATAAACTCTATCAATATAAATATTTCTTGCTGTTGACCAAGCTACTTCTAGGTTTCCTGGTTTCCTCAAGTCTGGGCTGGAGAGTCTGCCCAGCCAGCTGAATATGTGCACACACTTCCAGCAGACAAGGGGAGATAGTTAGAGGAATCATAAATTAAAAAGGAGCATACACACTGCAGCTCAAGGGGGATCAGACTTATGGTTATCCCTACCTTTCTCTCCCATAACCATGACTTATTTTTTCTTTCCATTATGTATTAACATTTTAGAACCCTGACCTGAGTGATTTGCTTCCTGCATATTAAGTCTAGCACAAAAAAATTAAGCATTTTATTCAGTTCTGTAACAGCGAGGGCACAAGAGACATCCGTACAGTCTCAACCTTTATGGCCATATTGAAACTTAGCTATGGTTTTAACAGAGCCTTCTCTACTTAGAATGAGGAATACCAAAGACTCTTAAGTAAATAAAAGGTGCTGTAAAGCACAGAAGACAAGAATTCAGTGATGCCCACAATGAACTCATTCTATTAAAAAAATACATCAATTTAGAGTTTCATATAGAAATCAGAATATTTTTAAACATAGCCTAAAAATTCAGCTATTTACAAGCCTCAGATTTTCAACTTTTTCAAAACTAGCTCTCTCATATTCAAGCCACAGACAGTCTCAAAATACTATATGTTATGACAATACATTAGGTGGATACATTCCATGACAATAGCAGCACAATAAAGGCTTAAATTTTCCAATTTTAGGCAATTTTAAAACAGTCATGAGAGGTGCCCTCATCAATTAAGCAGACATCATCAATTCCATGTGCCAAGTAACAGAAAGGAACTTTTAAATAAATTATGGTTGCTGTTAGCTTTTTGACTTTTTCCTCACAGCTGCAATGAAACACAGCAATTTTACAAAGTTATAATAGCCCATGGCGATACTGATTAATCTGAGCCAGAAAACAAAAATACGTGCTTCCTAACACAGTAGTTTCAAACCTTATTTGGAAGTTAAGTAATAAAAGTCTTTCAGGCCACCCTCAGTCTCAGCACTAAAATCACACTCTTCTCAGCCAGAAGAAGGACTACAATATTTCATCTCTCAAATGAGACAAGGAGCCATTCAACAGTTGTGTCTGCCACTGGGGAAACATATATCACATCCCCACTAAATGACAATTTCTATAGCTCATTTTACTAACCCTGCAGCTCAAACTATACAGATATAAAATACAGAGGTGATGCAGACAAAGGAAGGAAAAACTGTAACTCTAGATACAGATCATCAAAACTGTTATAGATAGATCAGACTACTTGCTTGCTTATCTATTAAAATAGAGGAACTGAGTTAAGTTGCATAATAAGACCTTGTAACGGCCATACAAACTAAAATTATAATGTAATGTGCTTTATAATTCATTTCTCTCTCTGCTACCCTTAAGAGACATACCTGCTGAGATATGCAAATCTTTGGTTTCAGACCCATCATCCCACCTCCCTCCAAGCTTTCAAAATCTTTCACTGCAGTTAGCATGCACACAACAGACTACACTAGCTCAAAGTATGAGAATCATTAAAATACACAAGTAGTAAAGGTAGATTATTTTTTCACTGATATTTTGTCAACATTGGCAACAGCACATTCCACCACCTGCAATACTTTGAGTCCCACCTGCAATGTAAACCAAAAAGCAAAATGTATTTTCTTAAACTGAAGCTGGGATGCATGCTGATTTTTGCTGTCTATGGCAGACTGAAATCAAAGTATTACAATACATTATTAAGGAGGTTATTGACTACATGTAGGCCATAAAAAAGTGGATAGGAATGCTGAAGAGGTGCCTCATAACCAGTTCTTTTCATGCTTCCAAAATTTTGAGTAAGCAGGGCAGGTCCTGATGTAGCCTTAACCCTAGTGAAAATATTTTCTGGTGATCAGCTTTACTGTCTAGCACAGAACAGTTAATTTTATATCAGCTAGACACAAACTTGAAGAAAATCAATTATTAATTACTCTCTCCTTCAGAAGTACAACACCTGAATTAGAATAAAATCCTAAAAATTTGAGAACATCAAAGCCTTTTTTACCATCTCCTTCACTTTAAATTATTTTACTTAGTGTATGTCATTAGGACTTCTAGGACTTCAAGTATAAAAATCATAAGCCGGTATTCCACAAACTTTATTTTTTTATACTAATGTTGGTTTATCTGTCTGTTCTGTTTCCTTTCCCCTTTCCTCCAATCCGTGTTGGTATGCAAGAATGAGAACTGGTTGTGATTAAAATATACCTTATTGATTCCTAACAAGCACAAATACTTGCAACCAGTAACTACTGCCTGTTCTCTTCCCATGTCCTGAATGAACTAAGCTGACCTGTGGGAATGGAGTTCCTACTGACGGATGCTGTAAAGACTTTCTGAACCCCTATGCTTCAGAACCCCAAAACTTGAGATTTTTAAGTCATTTACATATCAGATCACCAAGAATTTGCTCAACATCTCTCCCAAGTGAGTCACAATTTTTTGAGGAATTTAATATAAACCAATGCATTTTGGCTCTCAAATTCAGTTTCATTAATTTAATTTTAAGAAAAGTAAGAAACACAAGCTGAACATTTTGTCAGTAAAACCAACAATAGTGAACAAACATCTCTTGAGATGAACAGCGTGCTCCTTTAAAAATGAGCTTCCATTTAGACAT